ATACAACCTATTCAAATAACGAATTTGGAATAAAAATTGCACTAGGCCATATTCAAGTGCATGATAAACGACATTAGAGTATAAATTATACATATACCATTCTCTTGACTCTCGCAGACAAAGGTTTGTCGTCGACAGTATTTGTATATTTTGGAATTGCAACGAAACCAATTTCGTCGGTAGCTAACCGTGGTTTTACCAGCAAGCTCTATCTTCGCAAAGTATGCTGAACATTGGATCTCATATTGCTGGTTTAAGGTGCACGAAGTCAATCCCTGTCCTTTTCGCTTCGTGCATCTCGCCTCCAGTAGGCAGTAAAAGGTATAAAATGAAGTGAAATGCCTTACTCTGTATCCGTGACATTAGAACAACCGCCTACTATACATATATTCGGCAATTTTTCAGTTTCGTGACTTTTATTTGCGCTATTGCCTCCTCTATGATAGTACATGCAATAGTATTTCTATATTAGTGAGCTACATAAGTTCCTACTATTACGTCACACGCATTGTTTCGTCCCAGTCCCTTTTGCGCGGTTTTCAGATTTTTCACAAGGCCAAATTCAATTCGTTTAAACGGCAATAACTTTTACACTAAAAAAGCAATTTCAATTCCGTTTTCGAATTTCCGTATATTTTGTATCATAGATTTCGAAAATATAAACTCTCATTTTGTGACAGGGACACTTTAAATGTACTACAGCTACAAAGGACTTCAGCGAGCTCAGAAACAACTCAGAAGATTAGGTAAGTGGCTCTGTGGCTGCTGTGTTGGATCCAAACCGATGCGGATGCATTGAGAAATCATGTTGCTCGAAATAATTGAGCCTTCAAACTTTATTTTGTATTGCGCACTCATGATTCGATTCTTCTCAGGATTTCAGTTACGAGCTTATTTTTACATGCAGTATGTTGGATTTTCACGATGCAAACCATCGACAATACTTTAAATAATTCTGGTAAGGTAGCTTTATTTCTTTCTGGTGAATGATGTGATATACATGAAGGCATGTACTATTTAAAGTACGCGTAGGAGTGTTTTATCAGATATAACGCGAAATGTTGCATTGTAGAAGAAACTTTATTCAAACAAATACCAATATTGGTACATTGAATACTTACATATACATTAGTTACAAAAAATAAAATATAAAAAAGACATTACAGTATATAAACTTACAAATAATTTATTCAGGCTAACTCATTCAATATGTCAAAAGTTCTTAGTATATTGTAGCAATATTTTGAAGATACTTTCAGAATATTTCTATCTTTTATACTTAGTATATAATGGAACAAACTTTGTGTATCAAAATATTTAAATGATTGGTTAATTTTATAAACAGAATTAATAAAATTCTGTCGCAAAAATGT